CGAAGCACCTGAGTCAAGTGTGAAGGTGTGCAAGGCCTCAGTAGGTGCTGTACCAGAGAGAGCAGACTCACTAGCACCTAGAGCAGCAGACTCACTAGCACCTAGAGCAACAGCCTCACCAGCACCTAGAGCAGCAGACTCTATACATGGGTCAGGCGGGACACACAGGTAACAGGCACCCTCAGCACTAATAGACAATGCATACATGGCAGTGAGGATAGCATCATAGTCAAGAGCAAAGATATCCACCCGCTGCCTAAGCAGCTCCACCCAGTCTGGGAGCTCAGCCTCGTCGCCAAACTCGGTACGCCAGGCGTCGCTCAGACAGGCGAAGCAGCGGGACTGTGTGTGACCTCTCGTCCCGCAAGTCTGACCAGCCCGATCACCTGTGCGACTGACGTACGGGCAGCGAACGGTACTCCGAGACCCTCTACTCTGAGCGTACCACTCACGAAGCTGCTGGGGCGTAAGGGTCTCGCGCGGACGTCGCTGCAGCTGCATCTGGCCACTGCCAGAAGAACCCGACTGACCAGCTCCAAGGCGACTGCCACTACGGCCGCCGCCATAACCCCAACTAGCGTACCACTCACGAAGCTGCTGGGGCGTGAGGGACTCGTGCGGACGTCGCTGGAGCTGCATCTGGCCACCGCCAGTAGCAGCAGTAGCAGCAGTAACAGCTGTAGCAGCAGTAGTAGCTCCTAGGGCAGCAGCACCTAGGGCTCCTTTTTTTTTCTTTTTTTTTAGTTATTTATTTATTTTAGGGTTTGGCAGGGCGCGCTGGGCGCTGCAGAGGCGGCTCGCGGGCTGCAGGGGCAGTGCGCGGGCGGCTTGCACAGGGCGGCGCGCGTGCCCTAGGGCGACGCGACGGGCAGGGCAGGGCGCGGTGGCCCTAGGGTGACGCGACGGGCAAGGCAGGGGCAGCGCGCGGGCCCTAGGGCGACGCGACGGGCAGGGCAGGGGCGGCGCGCGGGCAGGGCAGGGCGGCGCGGTGGCCCTAGGGTGACGCGACGGGCAGGGCAGGGGCGGCGCGCGGGCCCTAGGGCGACGCGACGGGCAGGGCAGGGGCGGCGCGCGGGCCCTAGGGCGACGCGACGGGCAGGGCAGGGGCGGCGCGCGTGCCCTAGGGTGACGCGACGGGCAGGGCAGGGGCGACACGCTTACCAGGAGCGGGTGCAGGGCAGGGCCGCGACGGGCGGTTAGGTCAGGGCCGCAACGGGGCGGCTGTAGGGCAGGGCCGCGACGAGGCGACGGCAGAGCAGGGCCGCGACGGGGCGGCAGCAGGGCAGGGCCGCGACAAGGCGGCTGCAGGGCAGGGCCGCGACGGGTGGCGGCAGGGCAGGGCCGCGACGGGCGGCGAGGTCAGGGCCGCAACGGGGGGCGGCAGGGCAGGGTTGAGAAGGGCGGCTAGGTCAGGGCCGCGACGGGCCGTTAGGGCAGGGCCGCGACGGGCCGGTAGGGCAGGGCCGCTACGGGCGGCAGTAGGGCAGAGCGTGCGACGGCGCAGGTGAGGCAGGCGCGAGGCGCGCTTCGAGCAGGGCAGGAAAACGATCGTGGTGGGCCCTTAAAAACGTTCCCACTAGGGAACCTGCTCTGAAACCATATCAGAATAGTGAAGGAAGGAGTGATTGATTGAGCAAGCAGTTGGGTACAAGTAGGAAACCTATAAGTGTTGTACCCTATATGAACTACCCCACTACAACCTACACAGACTATAGCATATAACTTTGACATGTTGTGTTGCTAGGATGCCCTAATCTTCGTCAGCGCGATGTCCAGGTGATCTTTTGTACAGATCGGAGTTGGAGTAAAAACCGGCAGTGATGCTGGCGTTTCGGTGAACGTCGCGTGGGGCGGGAGTCAGCTGCTTAGCGGGCGTTGGTGCTGGTGTCGTTGTCTCTGCTTCTGCCGATGTTGCCGCTGCTGCTCCCGTTGTCGCTGCTGCTGCCGTTCCCGCTGCTGCTGTTGTTGTCTCTGCTGCTGCCGTTGTCTCTGCTGTTGTTGTTGATGCCTCTCCCGATGTCTCTTGGATCACCGCTAACGCCCTTGTTCGTTCTGCTTCAGGTATAGTGTGCGAGTACCAGAATCCTCCGGGGCTGAAGTCGGGGTCGAGGTCTGGTGGGTGCGACCAAGTGGTGAAGTTAACAATCGCGTCGCTGTCAGCGGTGCCTTGATCCGGGACGAAGTCAAGGACGAAGACGTTGTTCTTCAGGACCGCTCTTCCGATGTAAAGTCCGCCATTACCACTGTATATCTTAAACTCCTTAGTGGTGCTGTCGGCTTCGAGGTGGATTCCCTTCGCCATGAGTTGACTGACGCTGAGTAAGTTGCAACCAATTCCTTCTGCAATCAAAACTTTTGACATCTGCAGGATAACGTTAGTTTCGCGAGATTGAAGTTGAACTACCCCTTGTCGTCGTGTGCGCAGGTTCTGGTTGTTGGCGACGGTGATTACAACTTCGCGGTTGAGGCGTTGTTCTCGTTGAACGAAGCGACCCGAAGAGCACATATGTTGTCCGCAGCAGCTATCCAAGAACCAGGTGTCTTTCCCGGATGGTTCGCTTTGGGCGATGGTTGCGTACGTCGGATTCGGCTCCAGCGATTCGCGACGAGGCGTGCTTTCGTCGAGATGTTCTTCAGGTGGGTAGGTCGGTGGTGAACCGGTGATGCAGGAGTCCGTTTTTCTTGTCATGCAACTTATGATATTTCTTGTTCCTCTTGCAGGTTGTGATGTTGTCGTTGAAGACGACGCCTGGTTGGAAGGATGCTGTTGTGTGGAAGCCACTTGGCTACTTGAAGGTCGAAGCTGACGTGGTGGTGGTGTTGATTGCTGTTGATTCGGGCAGTGGACGCGAGAGTGCCCTGACGTTTTACAGAGGTGAGAACGGTGGTACGTGTCTTTGTGCTTGGTGCTCGTGTTGTCGGTTGTTGTTGTTGTTGCGCCGTTGAGTGTGAAATGCGAACTCCGGTACTGATGCATTTCGTTCATGTCCATGTCTTGTTGCTCGGCGAGGATTTCAGCGCAGAGGGTTGCTTCGGAGATTCTTCCGTGGGCTCGGAGAATGGCTCGGGTGGAGCGCCACTGAGGGCCGAGACCAGTGATGACGACAATGACGAACGCTTCTTCGGATATTGATCCGCCGCATCGAAGGAGTCTATCGCGCAGACCACGGCAGCGACTGATTTACGCCATTCCCTTTTCGCCGGGTTGCATTTGCACCGTTGTCAATTGTGCCATGAGACGACTCTGATTAACGCTGTCGGTTGCCTGATACAGATTCTTCAGATGGTTGTACGCGAGCTCGGCGGAGTTGCCGTATCCGCGATAAGATCGGATGTTCTGCTGCTCGTTTGGCGTTATATTTCGTAGGAGTATGGTGTACGCCATGAGTGACTGATACGTGTATTGCTGCTTGTCGTACTGTGTCCCGTGTGTTGGATATGGCAGGGAACCGTGTGCTTCTGCTTGTCAAAGAAGCCAAGGATTTGAGCGCCCTCCATCATCAGCTCGAACTCAAAAGACCTGGTAACAAAGTCTTTGCTGTCGAATGGTGTTGACGTTTGTAATTTCAGATCGTGTGCAAACTGCGACTGCAGCTGAAGTGCGTCCAGTGTCTTCGTTTCTTGTCCAGGTGGGAGTCCATTCGGCATGAAGCTGACAGAGCCGCGTTGAGGCTCATACGGTGCGAAGGTAGGTTGCTGATTTCCGCGCGCAAATGATGAACCGTCAAGGCTCATGGGAGTGACTCCGTTGTTGTTGTCGCTGTTGTTTGACTGCGCAGGTGCTGCTTGTTGGTGTTGCTTGTAGAACGACATGAAGCAGAAGAACTTCTCCATCATGCTTGGGTCGAAGCCGGTAACTTGACTGCCTGGAGTTTCAGTAGGCTCAGCTGCTGGTCCTTGGGTTGTGCCTCTCTCTGTCTGTAGTCCAGAGGCTGGTGTGGAGTGGGAGTGTTACTGGGAGATTCAGTGGACGAGCTTCTCTCTTTCTGCGTAGCCATGCCTTCTGTTGTTGTAGGAGCTTGAACAGAGTTGTCTTTTGTCTTGGCAGCTCTCATACCATGTTGGGCTGAGAAAAGCCCTTAGGACCGTTTTCAAGACTTAAAGACTCAGAGTAGTGATGTATTAGCGGAAGCGTATTTAGTGAACTGATTGAACCACCTTGCACTGGTATGTGAGAACAAGATAAGTTGATAATAACAAAGAGATACAAACTTTTATATGATTACAAGGAATACGAAAGGTAACTGCTGTTGCGGTTCAATACAGCGACGACTCGGGTAACTGCTCAATATCGAGTCAGTTATGTGTCCTTGCTGTCGCGCTGCTTTCGACGAGTCAAAAGGTTGCTGACCTTTGACCTTCACTCAACTTCTTGCTGTTGTCTTTCTGTCAACCGCGTTGGTTGAATTGCTGTTGCTTCGCTTTAGTTCGTTTCGCTTTCGTTGTAGTCCTCGACACATCAGAAGCGCGAACTATATGTTTCCAACAGAGGCGTGTGTCGCGAGTGGTAACGGTGCACTGTTGAGAGTTGTTGGCGGGAAGAGTGGTGTACGCGCTGAGCAGGGACGCGAAGTAAGGAAAAGGAATTTTCCTTACAACATTGAAATATATAGTCATAGCTAGCTGTCAAACTATACCATTCAGGAAAATATCCAAACCTTTTTCAACCGCATTCTCCGGACACGAGCTTCTCATAAGCTCTTGAACATCTCCACTCACCTACCTGCCTTCTGTATCACGCCCTTCTCCAAACGCATTCGGTACGCTTTTCACGTTCGCTCACTGCACGCGCCACTTCGCGGCTCAGTTCTTTCGACGACTCGCTTCGCAAACTCAAACCCTACTAGACCTCCATTCCACAGGCTGCGCGCGGCAATGGGCGACCAGCAGGTGGTGGGCGATTTTCTCAAAGTCACGCCCAAGCGTTATGCGCCAGCCGCGCCCGCGGAGACAGCGGAAGCGGGATTTTGCGCAGCTTCCGGCGGAAAGCGGCGGAGCCAATGATCGGCAACGTGACGACCATCGACTTCTGCCCCTTCGCGCCCTTCCATTTCACCGCCACCAACTCCACCCGCGTGCGCCACCCACCCTCTCCCACCCGCTCCCCGTTCTCCGTTCCGTGCCCCCTTCACTCCGCTCTCTCAGCAATCTTCTCTTCGTTTCCCCAAAATCCTTCCCCATTGTCCACTCCTTCCATCCCCCACACCCTTCCCCGCAACTCACACACCCCCAACCCCCTCCTTTCTCTTCCTTGCGATTTCGACGATCTCGCTTCGTATCGGGCTTCCCAGCCCGCCAGTTCCGCACCCTACTCCTCCGCTGCCGCCTCCGTTCCGCTCTCCCTGTCCGCCAGTGAACCACTAAAAACCTTGTCCCGCTTTGAAGGACTTGTGAGAGCCCTCTCTTACCCCTCTTTTGCTCCTTTCGCCCCACTCCCTCCTCCTCCTCTCCCTCCTCCTCCTCTCCCTCCCCTGCTCTCTCCTTCCCCTCCCCCTTTCCCTCCCTCTGCTCCCCTCCCCTCCCTTTCCTCCCCTCCTCTCCCACCCCTCCCTTCCCCTTTTCCCTTCTCCCCTCCCCTCCTCTCCTTCCTCCCCTCCTCGCCCCCCCCGCGCGCATGGCATGCAGGCGTACAGCGGGCAGTTCAGGGCGGATGGCAAGCTGCTGGTGGTGGGCAGGGACAGGCAGGGGCATCATGTAGGTCAGACGGGCGCCGCTTTGGGGGAGGGGAAGTGGGAAGCACGGGAAGAAGGCGATTGGGAAGAGGGGAGGGAGGGGAGGTCGGGGAGGGCAGTGGGTGGGTACGGTGAGAGGATCTGAGTGTGTGAGAGCATGTTCGGTTCTGCTTGCACCTACCCGCACATGCATTTCTGCACGTGCACCCGTGCCTCCCCTTGGTTTCCGCACCTGCTGCTGCAGCTCCCTGCGCGCCTGACCAGGCGCACTACAGTGAGTACATTGCAAATTATGTTGCTTTTGCACTAGTAAACGGTTACAGCTCCATCAGAATGTCACAACACATTTCTACCGCATTTCCTAAGCGGGTACCGGCATAAGACAAACCGGTACCGGTACGATATCAGAAGCTACTATCTGTAACAATCATTTCCGGGAAGTTGTCCCTAATCAGGCCTTCTACAGTTTCAGATTTTGTCCCAATCACCTTAAGGCTCTTAAGCCCATTGAGCCACTTGACTCCGTCAGCAGTGATTTGAGCATTCCACAGCCCCAGCTTCTCCAGACGTGGCATGTTCCTCAGGTGCTTCAAACTGGAATCGGTCACCCATGGAGGCAAGCTGAGGATCTTGAGGGAGGAGAGGGAAGTCAGATGCTTCAGCCCGCCCTCCCTCACTCCACTGGTACTAAGCCACAGATGCTCCAGTGTCGTCAGTTTTCCCAAATGCACCATGCTTACACAAGTGACCGACGCACAACCACTTAAGGCCAGCGACACGAGTGCAGGCAATCCCCGCAGCTTCGCTACTCCTGCATTGGTTATCTTGGTCCCACCAAAATATAGTGCGTTAAGAACCTTAAGGCTGCTAATACCATCAATAGAAACGTCTGATGCATCGGTTGATGACAGATCCAGAAATGTGAGACCTGTGAGGGAGAAGAGCTGTGTCACCTCCTCTGGCGTGAAGCCGGACGATCCTCAAAGGCCGAGCCACGTGAGAGAGTGCAGGGAGGCAACTCGAGTGAGAGCAGCGTCCGTGAGGTTGACGCCATTGAGGTTCATGCAAGTTTCGCTCGGCGCAACCTTGCTCCACAGCTTCACTAATACCTGCAGCCACCGGGCAGCAGCAAGGTCAAAAAAGAGTGATCTGAGAAGACTAGCATCAGGAATCACTTATAAGAATTCTCAACAAATTGGCTGCGCTTGCTGCCATCCGTGCCACAGCAGCAACGAGCAGCAGCGTCTGACACGGCAAGGAGAGCAGCAGGGGAGCAGCAAGGGGAGCAGCAAGGGGAGCAGCAGGGGAGCAGCAAGGGGAGCAGCAAGGGGAGCAGCAAGGGGAGCAGCAGAGGGAGGCGCAAGGAGCAGCAAGGAGAACAGCATGAATGGCAGCAAGGGGAGCAACATGGTGAGCAGCAGGGGAGCAGCAAGGGGAGCAGCAAGGGGAGCAACAAGGCACCCATCCGTGGAACTGCAGTATTTCAAAAGAAACGACCATCTAAACAGCAAGGACAGGAGCAGGCGCAGGAGCAGGGACATGATCAGGGACAGGAGCAGAGACAGGTTATGACATGCGAGACAACAAATAGGCAGTAATTCAAAATAAACTACCACCCGAAAAAAAACAATCACCACAGACAGCAGGATTGGGAGCAGCAAGGGGAGCTGGCAGGACAGCAGGAAGGGCAGCAGGCAGGAAGGACAGGAGCATGGCAGCAAGGGCTGCAGCAAGCATTCACCTCCCACGTCTTGCCTCCAACCTCTTCCACGTCCTCCTTCGAATTCTCCAGAGCCACCACGCGGTCACACAGCTCCTGGAGCTCAGCCTCCGCGTCGAAATCCTCCTCGCCATTAGCCCCCCACTCCTCTTCGCTCTCGCTTTCCGCGTCGCTTTCCGCCTTCTCCCGATTTCCTTCGGCCGCAGTACCACCGACAATCAGCTTAGGCTCAGTGGCCGCAACAGCACATGCCATGTCCCCCTCCTTCCCCGGCGACTCCTCCCGCTTCCGCCTCTTCCCCGCGCTGCCCTCATCGTGATCGTCGCGGCTTGTCTCCGCGCGGCCGTTCTTCAGCGCCGCGAGTTCCGCTTCCAAGTCGTTGATGCGCCCCTTTGTGTTCGACGCCTTCGCCTTCACGTCCGCCATTTCCGCCTTCAGCGCGGCCATCTCCCCGCGCATCTCACGCGCCTCCGCCCTCGCCGCTTCCAGCTGTGCCTTCACTGCCTCCACTTCCAGCGGGGCAAACGCATTGTCCCCCCGTGTGCCTTTCAGCAGCTGCACGTCAATGCCCTCCGCTGCCTCCCCCGACGCACTCCCTTGTCCCCATCGCGAAAATCCAAGGCTCGAAAAGTTGCGTGCCAGCAACTTCAAAGTCGCTTTTCCGCAACTTGGGTTCCGGAGAAAAAAAATCTAGGTCAAACGCTTCTGTGGCGAGGTGACTTTCGAAGTTGCGGAAAAGTGACGACAAAGCTTCGAAAGAGTGGCCATATTGCAACCACACAACACAACTAAGGGCGTGTCCCACGAGTTTTAGTGGAAACAATCGTAATTGTTACGTAACTTCGACAAAGCAACGTAGTGAACACTATGACGAAAAAATAACGCATCGCGTCAGCACTCCACCAGACGAAGTTGCACCATGCAGAATCAGCACCCCGTTCACACAAAACTCGTATCCCGAATCACATTCGACATGGTTCGCGAAAGGTAACCCGGACCGGTTGCGAATCTATAGTGCCAATATTGGCCGTTCGCCTTTTCTGGGCGAATTCTGGGATTGGGAATGAGGGTTACGCGGACCTGTTCGAGGTGATGGTACGTACCTTGAAAGCTGTTTTTGAACGCTTTAAATTCGAACCTTTTGACGCATTCAGCGCGTCAATGACGCGCGTCATTGAAGACGCATGTCTACATTAGTCCAGTAGTAAGGGTTACAAAAGCAAAAACAGGGTTACCTAGGTCAAAATGAACTGTAAACGAACTCGTGGGACACTCCCTAAAAGGTGACATCAGAAGTGACATTTGTCTAAAGATTTTGGGCTTTAAGTCCCCTTTGCCACCCCTTTGCCACGTGGACGCCTGAACGCCACGTGTGAAGATATTTTCTGCTAGCTGTCAAGGTGAATAGTGGACGGAAAGATGCCACGTGGACCAATCAGATCTGGAGACGCATATGGGCGCATGCAATACAAATTGTGAAAACTCTTAAGTGAAGTGTGTACATGATGTTTTGGATTATTATATACATTAGACCTGACAATTTGCACTGACACCATAATAAACATGATATGACATAACTAAATAATATAACTGAAGGTACTTCAAGAAGCAAACATTGCTGCCCTTTCAACCACTTGATCCTGGAGTTCTGAAACACAAGTAAAAACAAAAACATCAAATCTCAACAAAGCCATGGTAGTTTTTTCCCTCTTAGCCATGGTACCTGCAAAAACTGATGTTAGCCAGGAGAATACGAATTAGTAGTAAACATCAGAAGGCACAACAAGAGCAGCACAACAAAAAAGTGTGAAGAACAGAACAAGGAAAATGATTGCATTGAGCAGAATGAGAAGTACAAGTAGGAAACCCTAAAGTGTTGTACCCCATATGAACTACCCCACTACAGCCTACACAGACTATAGCATATAAGTTTGACACACCCCCATAGGCAAAGTGGGGGAGAACAAGAGGTCACAAGACCAGTCAAGACAAGCAAAGCAAGCTCAGGGTGGATCACGAAGTCACCACGCATTCTGAGCACAAGCAAATGGCCACAAGGCCAGTTCACATGCAGAGTTATATAAAGGAGAACAAGCAATACAGTGATCACAATCTAACAAGTGTAAGCATGCAGGTATATGTATAGAGATCACAGTACAAGCAAAGTCAAGAAGTGAGCAAGTGAGGCCAAGTTTGCACAAGGCCTAGAACAGTACAGAAACGCTGATGATCACAAGGCTGAAGTCCCTTGGTGAAGACATCAGCAGTGTTGGCCTGAGTGGCCCCGTAAGCAAGATGAAGCTGACCACGCTGCTGCAACTCTCGAGCAAGGAAGTAACGCAGAGCGATGTGCTTCGTTCTGTGCTCCAGTCTGTGCTCCTGACACAAGGCAATCATGGCCTTGTTTTTGACGTACAGAACTGGAGGAGAACGAGGCGGCTCTCCCAGGTCGGTCAGCAGGTAGGTGAGCCAGCGTAACTCCTGTGCAGCCATGGCCCCTGCGTAGATCTCAGCCTCACAGCTGGAGCTGAGAACAGAAGACGAGCGGGTAGACCGCCACGAAACAGAGCCGGAGCCAAGGCTGAAAGTGTAACCCTGTGACGATCGCTGCGCAGCCAAGTCGTCAGCCCAGGAAGCGTCTGCGTGGCCAGTGAGGACAACTCGAGCCCGTCCTCCAAGCACGAGCCCCATGCCCGACGTACTGCACAAGTAGCGCAACACCCTCTTAGCGGCATCCATGTGCTCCTTCCGGTGTCTCCCAGGAGCAACATAGCGTGCCAGGATGCTAAGAGGGTAGGCAAGGTCAGGTCGAGTGCAGGTCATCAGGTACATGAGGCAGCCCACAAGCTCTGGATACGGGCCACTCGGCTCTACGGACTCATCTGAAGGCAGAGCTGAGAGCAAGTGGCGAGTAGGCAGAGGAGTGGACTGTGGCGAGGAGTACGTGAAGCGGAAGCGCTGAAGGACCTGCTGCACCATGTGTGACTGAGTCAAGGTAATGGTGCGCTATGCTCTGTCCCGGGTGATCTGCAAGCCAAGATAGCTGCGCAGCTCACCCAGGTCTGTGCACGTGTGTCTCTTCTGCAGCTTCGACTTCACGTGGGCGAGTGCCTCAGTGTCAGCAGTAGCAAAGACCAAGTCGTCGACGTACACGAGGACGTAGAACGGCGGCAGAGAAGTGTCGGTGCGTAGAAACAGCGACGAGTCAGCAATGGAAGGAGCAAACCCAAGAGCCGCAAGCGTCGTCCTCAGTGTGTCGTGCCACTCACGGGGCGCCTGGCGGAGACCGTAGACTGGCCGCCGGAGGCTCCACTGGGTACCAGCAGGAAACGACCCAGTGAAGCCAGGTGGGCGGCGCAGCCATATCTCCTCGTGCAGGCTGCCCTGTAGGAAGGGTGTGCTGGAGTCAAGAGAGTGAAGCTCGT